GCCAGTGTCCGGCAGCCTCGCCTCTGTCAGTGCGCCCCAGGGTGGCTGTGGCTACACTGTAGCTTGCCATCACGTGTGTGTGAATGGGTGGATGACTGGATATGTAAAGTGCTTTGGGGTCCTTAGGGACTAGTAAAGCGCTATATAAATACAGGCCATTTACCAAAAGTAAAAATGATAAGAGTGAAGTTCCACTGATTTTTTAATTGTATTTTTGTAAACACGCCTCCCTGGGCCTGATTCTGCCAGGGGTTTCTTCCTGTTAAAAGGGAGTTTTTCCTTCCCACTGTTGCCAAGTGGATGGTTAATGCTTAACCTTAAATCATTAATTCTGTTGGGGTTATTATTCCAGTTGTGTTGTGTTTAGACTTTGATACTTGTGCCTGTGCAGTTTGTGGTTTTTCAGTGTTTACATTGTCAACTACACTGTAAAGGTTTAGCTGTGAACAGGCTGGTTGTTCCAGTGTTTGTAAAAACCAGTGTTCTGTAGCTGTGAACAGACGTATGGACTGGTTCTTATATAGCATTCATACAAACTCTTTTCTCTGTGCTTAAGTGCTTTCTATCTAACACTGTACAATATTATGTACAAGTAAAAAAAATTGTCACTTAGTAATTCATAGTGGAATTTATTTGTTGTGAAAATTTTCTTATAAAACTTGCTAATCTAAAGTTTTTGTACCAAACCAGGCAAGTTTTCAATGTAAGCTCACCAGCGGCTAACTTTAGCATACAAACCAATAAGATCTTTATTGACTTTCTGTGTAGATCATGGAGAACTTGCGTGTACTGGAATATTCTTGGTATTAACATATCTTTGCCATTAACTATGTGGGTTTGAGATTAAAAACAGTGTAATATGTATGAGCTTTGATTGTATTATGTAAGTAGTTATATATGAACATCTTACCAGCCTATAAACACGCCCCATACTGTGAGCTTCAAACTGTGATCTTATATATTTATAAATCATCCATTTCTGGTCACACATCTATAATTTGTGTATTTATCTTATAAAATATGGAATTAGCCTCTGGATTATGACATACAGGTTAGTTAATTCAAGTCTTGAAGCATCAAGCTAAATCTTCAAGCTGACTAGCAACTTGTCAGTCACACGATAACGTTGTGCTCCACCTCCACTGGAAGTCAGGTGTCAGCGACAGGACTGACGCCAGTCCAGAACTGGCTGTGTTCTAGTACTGGTAGTTGGAAAATCAAAGAAAAACATGATTTGTTTGGGTACTCAACAAAGTATTGTCATTATTCCTGCAACGCTAGCAATACAAAAACATCACTACCACGTGTTCCTGCAGACATGCTGGCCAGTGTTCTTGTGTGTGGCTTTTTTAGCATGTTACAAATACACAACAGTGATACTACAGATGACAAATTCTATAGTTTTGCTGCTTTTTGTGCACACTGTCTGCAACATGAATTGAGAAATCAGAGGTTATTGGGGCCTCTCGAACTTTCTGAGTTGGAAATCTGATTTGAGGGGACATTCCAGTTTAAAATTCTAACTGGAAAGTCAGGATTTCTGATTTCATCTGTGTTTACTCTTGTGGAGTTTTATTTGGAAAGACTTAAAACTAGCAAATGAGACCATAAATCCATCAGAAATGTATTTAATGAGGTCATAGAGCAAGGGAGCTCAACTGGCATTTCACCATAGACCTCTATTCAACTGAACCGCTGTTTGTAAGCCGAGGAGTCGCCCCCTGCTTGCCAGATCCAGGCAAGCAGGTGGCTGAATGCAGATCCAGGTTTGACACCAGGAAGTGACGACTTACTTTTACATACAGATTTTATAAAAGGCAGAGAATAACACTGTGGAGTTTTTAGCTGAAACATACTGTAAATATAATTTTACTACTAGTTTATTCCACTGTAGGACATTTTGCTCCAAATAAAATGGTGACATGTGGATTTTGTATCATAATACCGATATGTACAGGTTTAAAGTACTAATTTAAGACACACATAAAGAGAAATTTGGACTTTCTCCTGTTTTGGTAGATCTTCAGCCAAAGTTACTAACCATCAAACATCAGTAATGACAGCATACAGTCATGGCATCAGGTTCGCTGCCAAATTGACTAATTGGCCAATAATGGTGTTTGAAAAGTGTGAAATCCTCATGATTGTTCGTCATTATATTATAGAAATATGTTTAAAAAGCATTTTAAAAAAATAAAGTAAAAATTGAAGTTGCAAAAGTGCATGAAAAGTCAACTTTGTGCCACTGCCAAAGATCCTCAGAGTGTAAAATACTGCAGTGCAATCACTGATATTACACTCAGTGTGTGTCCATTTGTTTTTGCTGCTCCCCCACACTGTAGACCGATGACTTTTGTAGATTATTTTCCTTTAATTTTCTGTCACTGTTGCAAATGTAGGCCTGTGTGAACAGCAAATCTGAGGCCAAACAGTATCTACGAATACCAAACAAGTTAATAATTCAAACATTTTTGCATCACTGTTGCCACCTCTCCTTTGTTGAACTGTTAGCAAACACACAGAAAAAAAACAGCTTTGTGATGTTTGGAGGCTTCTTCATTTTCCCCGCTGCAAATTACCCAAGAGGAAATGGCCAGTGCGAGTGGATTGTGGGGACTTTATTCGTCTGTTTCCTGCGGTAAGTTATTCCTTTGTCTGGGCCGAGCTAATAGCAGGGAATGGGATTCAAATAGAGTCAAGCTGCCTCCTGAGATCCCTCAATCCACCGTCGCCATAAAAAGAGGTCTGAGGCCAGTCTAAATATTTGGTAGTCTTAGCAGGTTCATGTTAAAAGACACACACACACGCACATGCACGGCGCACACAAACGCACGGGGTGAATGCACAAGCAGGCCGAGGCTGTGAAGTTGAATGGCATAGCTCAAAGCCTTCCTCCCCCTATCCCTCCCTCTTTCTCTCTCGCTCTCTCTCTCTCTAAACCGCCAAACCATTCTCCCCCTTTCTCCAGCTCAGAGGAATTCATTAACTGCCTCTCCACAGAGACACTATGGAAATCAGGCAGCTACAAAGGCAGAGAGGGAGAGAGAGAGAGAGAGAAAGAGGGAGAGAAGGGAGGGAGGGGTGATGGTGGTGGTGAATGGGGCTATATTATCCTATTAGATGGTGGATATGTCTCGTTTCCCTCCCCTGTCATGAGAAAAACATTAATTTTAAGTGAGGAAGGGAGGGAGAGAGAGGCAAAGACTGAGAGAGAGAGAGAGAGAGAGAGAGGGGAAGAGAGAGGGGGTGGGGGGCTGAGGGGTAGATGGTGAGGGTCTTTAACGTTGCTCTTTTATCGAGCTGAAATGGAGAGTCCCCTGGCTCCATTTACCTTGGCAATGAGGATAGAGGCGCTCTCCATGAATGCCATTTAAAATGCCATGGAGATTAAGCATCCTCTCTCCCTCTCCCGCTCTCTGTTTCTCACACACACATATGCAGCGGCAGCAGTGGCGGCGGCGGGGCTCGTCATAATATGTGTTTAGGAAAAACAGCTTTGAGATTCATGAGTAAAGCCCTCTAGGTGCCAGCGCTGAGGAGGGAAGAGAGCAGAGAAAGAGACAGAGAGGACCATCACTTAGCCAGAGTGGGCTTTAAGCACTGTAATTAAATCATTAGACCCCTCTTCCCTCCCCCTCTCCCTCCCCTTCCTCTCTCTCCTCTCTCTCCTCTCTCTCTCTCTCTCTTGGCTCAGCCAAGCTCATCAGGAGCTCAGAGTGTGAAATGATGAATCTGTATTTATAGGGATGGAGTAATTACAGCGCTAACCTCTGAGGGGACCCAGGAGGGCCACAGGGCCACAGAGCAGGGTGCAGGGTGCTCAACCTCATTAGCACTGCCCAAGTGTGCGTGTGTGTGATAGAGTGTGTGACACAGTGTGTGAAAGGAGGTGTGTGTGTTCAAAGAAGCACAGTTGCTATGTGTTGTGATGGTTAAGCCTGTCAATGAGGACACATCAGCCTGCCTCCTCCCACACGTGAGGGTCTATTTTTACACTTTCTCCCACATAAATATGGTCCCC